ACTATCTATGTTCAGAGATTCACGACAATTTGTCAAAAATGAAAGCAAATGCCATCTGAAGTTTACTGAGAAGACAATGTGTGAAATGCTGGACTTCCTAATTGATAACATCTACGTACAATTTTGGGGTAAGCTATTTTGGCAAGAAGTAGGCATCCTCACGGGCACCAACTGTGCTCCCCTTCTTGCGGATCTGTCTACTTTATGCATATTTCGGAATTTCTGCTCGGATTGGCAAAGTCAAAACAAGGTATCATCACTATTTGATAGTGATTCATAAACATGTGTTCATGATATAGTCGGAATCGAACAATCGACTGCTTTTAGCAGAGATTTTTTTATGAATATAGACAGGCCTTTGTCGCTTTTAAATGTGAATCACTATGAAATAGCGATGATACCAGGTGCTCGAGACAATGTGAGCGTATCCTGCCCCACCGGTGGCATCCGTCACAAACACATGCAAAGGCAAGTCATATGTTCTCCCGAAAAGACACGGTAACACATGGTACGCATCAAAATAGGGATTTGCTTCGGACATCATTTTTGTCACTGATGCGTTAATGGAAATGTCTACCATTATTACGGCCAAAGACGTGAATAGCTGCCTATGCTATGGCACACTGGTTTGTTTAGTCCAGACTCGATTATTTACAATCTAACGTGATATACCTGAGATATTAGCGAGTGCGGTGTAAAACAATATCGCTAATGAACTGACTTTTATCTACAAATGAACCTTGAGCAGCTAAGAGTGAGTGAGTATGGTTTTACGCCGCTTTTAGCAATATTCCAGCAATATCACGGCGGGGGACACCAGAAATGGGCTTCACACATTGTGCCCATGTCGGGAATCGAACCCGGGTCTACGGCGTGACGAGCGAACGCTGAGCAGCTAAGAGAGAGGGAGCGGTCGGGTATGGTTTTATGTGTGTATATTAACAGCAGAGTATTTCACGGATGCAATCAAGATATGGGTTACCTCTGGGATGTCAAGAGTGAGTGAATATGGTTTTACGCCGCTTTTGGCTCTATCACGGTGGGGATCAGAAATGGGCTTTACACAATGTACCCATGTGTGGAATCGAACCAAGGACTTCGGTGTGACGAGCGAACGCTTTGACCACTAGGTTACCCCACCGCCCCTGGGAGGTCAAGAAGAATATGGTAATTAGCACTTAAAGACATCAAGCGCTATGTACATGGAAGCTGGTACTGGCGCCACGTCACCATTAGTATCGAGTTAAACCTTTGTACAGAAATATCAGGAATAACCTTGGTCACCTTCTGAGTTCTAACCCAACCTTGAGTCATGGGTTTAGGTGACCTAAATTACTCCTTTCATTTAAATGGTCATCATTCATTTAAAAGGTGATTAAATGACAATGTTGACACAAGGCCCATATACTTTTCAATGTAAACATGTAACCAGCAAGATATGTCTGGTATAGAGGGGAAAACGGCATAAAAACATATTCACTTTAGGAAATATACATTTGCTACATTTTATATCAAATCGATCGATACTGTGATTTTAGGGTTGTGTGTTTCGCAAGGCGACGTTAAATGATTGGGTTTATGGTTTTATAATATCTATCAATGTGTTGTCACGCTGTATAGCATACCAATGAATTTGTATAGACATTTATTAAATTTGCTTATGCTGCTTAAAACTTCGTAAACGATTTTTGTGAATGGTTTCACATTCATGTTGTTTGTTTGTTGTTTGTTGTACTAAGCAACGTTACAGCTGCATTTAATCGAGTTGTTACCGGACAAACCAATGGGTGAAAGCATGAGTACCGATTCACGCCGTCGGCGTACGATGACATGCAATCAACCAGGACACCACCCGATTAATTTACGACCAGCATAGGTAACCGGGGACCTACATTCCCGCTGGACTCCCTAGGGAGCTAACCTATATATCAGTTAACGATTTGTTCATTAATTGATAATTGTAGACAAACAGTCCATGACATTTGGGGGGCAGGGGTGGCCCAGTCGTCTAAGGCGCCGCGATTAGCTGTGCAGAGTTGCGTCCCTTGGGCACGCCGGAAACCTGGGTTCGAATCCCGGTTCGCCCTGATTATGTTTCTAGGTTTGTCAGCACCATACCCGTGCTCGGGGGTTTCATCGAAGTGGTAAAGGTCTGATACCTGCATCACTTCAGGCTTTCCTCCCACATTAAGCTGACACGCCGTGATATAACTGGAATATTGTTCAAAGAGGCGTTAAACCAAACTTACTCACTCACTCATTCACTCACTCACTCCGTGACAGTTGAACAGTACAACACAGAGGTAACTACCCCAGAACGACCCATGTACCAGTTGTTGTTTTTTCCTCAAGTAAGTTTACAAACAAAATCCTATTTATTCTTAATTCACGATATATCAACGACACATAATGCTATATTAAAGGATAAATGTATCTTAAAAACTTTCGATTTGTTTTCCACATAAAAGCCCAGACGCATTTTTCAAAACACCTTTCGCCTGTGCGAACAAGCATCTTCAAGAATATCCTGGTCAATTTTAATTACACCTTAACTGAAAATCAATATATTCAAACGAACCTGAAACGGGATATCTTCACAGCAGGTGTCCGAGAATATTAGAATCAAATAATTTTACTTGATCCAAAATGCGGAATACTTAATGTCATTGATACCACACAGAGAAGACCGAGGATTTTAGAATAAACGAATTTTACTTAATCCAAAACGTGGAATACTGATTGTCACTGACACTAGACACAGAATGCCTGCATAGACTCATTAGTTGCAGTTCAGTTTTCAGGTTAATCTTAATATTAATAGACATCTGAGCACATCGATCTATACATAGTCAAGCGTTGGTGTCGGGCTTCGGGTTCCCGCGAGGGAAGGGCTTGGCCTGGTTGTTATGGAGTACCTCATTGTACAGCATAAAATAACAAGAATCGCAGGTTACATGTGTTAAAGGTGCCGTACCGAAACGAATGGCACCAACGGGAGATAAGCATCTAAATACAGTAAACTACGGTTGTAACGAACTCAAAGGGACCACTTATTTTAGTTCGTTATAACCGTAGTTTGTTATAAGCATATATACAGCATATATACAACAAATGGCCGGGACTAAAATATAACTTCGTTATATCGGTCAGTTCGTCATAAGCGTGTTCGTTATAATCGTAGTTTAATGTATGCGAATATAATTAACAATAACTACACAATGCCATTTAGAAAGCGGTAAAATGTTCTAAAACATTTGTTACACAGATAATAATGATGGTTATGCATGCGTACAGTGGTATTTTCATGCTGAATTTGTTAAGCCTACAATGCTGTGCGAGCGGTTTGGAATTTTACGCCGTTATGACAGCGTACATTCAAACATTAGAAGAGAATAATAGGCATTTTTAGGTGACAGGTGTATGTGAAATTAAGCATTATATTTACATTATGTACTTGGGACGAAGAAACAACGATACAATACCGAAAAATTAAAAACACAATATCAATAATGAGCGAAAAATGTAATTATGAAAACAATAATTAGTCTCTCCAAATTTAAATGACATGCATGGTTGGACATTGTCATAATACACCACCATCTATACGCTTGGATACTGTAACAATAGCATGTTAGCATTGTAATTTTAAGGATATAGCATACGACATAAGTGAGCCCTGGCCTTACATATACGCGTGTACAGTGGTATAATATTTACCAGGGTACAGAACAATTGTCGTGAGTGAGTATGGTTTTTCGCCGCTTTTAGCAATATTCCAGCGATATCACGGCGGGGGACGCCAGAAATGGGCTTCACACATGTCGGGAATCGAACCCGGGTCTTCGGCGTGACGAGCGAACGCTTTTACCACTAGGCTACCAAACCGCCACTGCCATTGTACATACGAATAGTGTTGTTGTATATGTACGAGGGTGCAGCCTCATTACTAAACGGTAAAGAATGTACACATATCACCATGTTGCCAGTGTATATGGTGAGTGTCACTGGGTTGTGAATGGATAAAAATGGAATGTTGTCTACAGGTATTCACTGGTGATGGCTTACGCACAGTAACAGTCGTAAGGAGCGCCATGTCAGAGAAGGCACACGTGTCACACACTAAACTAATACAATATACGACATGGTGTCAGCAGCTCTCGGTTCGCACTGGACACACACGAATGCATTATTCAATAGAGACGTCAAACATGGTCCCGCGAGAACTCCATACTTGGTTATTTATACTTCAATAGCTACAATTGTTGAACTGCACAAGCGAGAGAGGAGGGAGTTACACCTGTATTCGGTGCACTGCCATCGATGCCAGTCGACATGCTCTCTTTCTGTATTTGCAATGGGCAAAGACTTATAGATTATACAATCACAGGTGAAGTGTTCGTAATTTCAACATACCCAACGCTCCCTGCTTGGATACTAGACTATACAACATATTGATGTTTATTAGCATTGAAAGGAGTGTGTTGTTATTATATCCCTTGGTGTGAGTGAACCCTTTAGAAGCACAGCTACATCCCGACAAATGGGATTCGAACTCGTACTTACATGCCTTGAATCATATGGGCTGACATGTAAATTAAATTACCAAGAAGAATGTTTATGTCGTATCAGATCCTATTGCATTGTGATAAAAAGTTCAAATCTAATAAAATTATTAACAGTATCACGGGAGAATAGTGATAAAAAAATTGTACAACATCAAAAACATAATGTCATCATGTATATGGGTTTACCTTCATCATTGTCAGTGATCAGAGTACCAAGGGGAGATAGGAATTATTGTTTAGCATGCTACACCAATGCATCTGGGAAATGCTTGTGCACCTCCAGCTGTACAATAATATAAGTAGATATAATGTTATTAAGACTTAGTTAAAAGAATTGATTGACTCGGTTCCCACGAGCATGTACAGTGTGTCTGTGATGTTATATAATACTCCCACAAGAGTCACAAAACTTTGTCCAACTTATAGTTTACCTACCGACTTGTAAACTCGACGTCAGGTACAACACGTGCTGTACGTGCCTACATTCTCCGGGCGGTAGAAAATCCGTTCGTTACCTCCTCAGAAATATCACAATTGTAAAAAAAAGTCACACAAACATAGGCGTTAAATTTACATCCCAAACTCAGCAATGTTGTGACTTGATCACTACTGAAGTCATCTCTTTTGCCACAGGAGGAATCGAATTTCACAAATTGACGAGCGGCCAATCAAATCAGCCCGGCAGATGGCGCACCAACAGAAAAGGGAAACGACTGGAAATCGCTCATCAGCCAATCAAACGAAACAGCCAGTCCATTACTACCAACATTCATCTCAGGGTTGGTAGGCTTTTCACAATCACAAGGAATGTGTCTAACGCAACAATTACTAGCTTACTCGCATCGCTAATAGCAGTGGAGTTGGAGCAACACGGTGCGTGCTGTGGGCGCGCAGGCTCGCCTGCCGTGTGCTTTGTTTCATCAATCGAACATGGCCGACTCGGGGGACTGGTCATAATTGTGTTGGTGAATTAATGCCGCTTCACTGTTTGTGATCTGTTAAGTATCGTCATATCATAACAGATATCTAGGGGAATTTATCAAACAAAAATTGCGTGTGTGTTACCACAGGCATTTCACAGCATCGATCCGTGTTAAGACTGCGGATGTTCTTATGAGATTGGGTGTGTTAGGTAGTTAGGCGAGACAGTAAAAGACCACTTACTGACTGGATTCATCTTTTCAGTGGAAGTCAAGCTGGGAAATAACTGAAGAATCCAATACACTTTGGCAAATACGCTATGTTTAATATGGGATGTCCTATCAAAAGACAAAGAACAGCACTTTTTTTTTCAGTGCCACTCAAACGTTAACTGGACAATGCATAGGACGTGTCGATACGAATCTCTCTCTAACAGTGTGTTCCTATCGCGTGTACTTTCTGCATTGATCGTGTTTCGTGTTTGCTAGATGCTACCAATCATTTCAAATGAAATCATCTGGACACTGTTCCTGAGTAAGGAATAGATTAGTTCATTATCAACTCCAATGAATATTGGACAGTTGGCGTCTTTCCAGGTAATAACTACACACCAGCTCAGCCTGTAGAACTCAGTACCTTTTTAAAATAGAACATTGTGACGACAGAGTTAATACGTATATGTAAACCAACCCTGGGAACAATTGAATTAAGAAAAGGATTAAATTCAAATACAAATGCTTGTTTATTTACACTCACGTCGACTCTGTCCTCATTTCAACGTTATATTCTACTAAAAAATAACAAATAAATTTATATTTATAAATATTGATAGGTGCTTTAACTTTAAGTTTTACGCGTTCCTTTGTAGAATATGAACTTTTAAAATGTCTTACGTCAGTGTGAACACCTGGTATCATCACTATTTTATTGTGGTTAACAATCACACCGATTCCGACTATATCATAAGCACGTGTTTATGAATCACTATAAAATAGTGATGCTAGCAGGTGTTCGCGAAAAGGAGAACACACCCTGTCCCACCAGTGACACCCATCACAAATACATGCAATGGCAAGTCAACTGTTCACCTGAAAAAAAACATGGGATGATACGATACAAGTGCATCGGACCTTTTCATTGAAGGGTCGAATTTGGAAATGTCTAAAAGCAGCCATTGGTAATATAGCTCTTATATACAAATTAGCATAAGGATGAATAGAACTGAAGACAGTTCTCTCTGTTTTTTGAATGGGTGAGTGAAGCTTGCGAACAACCGCAGTCGGCAATATTTTAACCAGTCATGACGACCTGTAAATATTCTAGACAAACCTGTGGTTGTATTTAAGCCTCAAAACCATTTCTATGTCATAAGAAATGTCTGCAACATCATAAGCATGTATTTATGAATAACATGAGAAGCGATCAATGAATCGGGGTACGATGACTACCAATGCTCTGTACTCTGTTCTTACGACAAGCATATCATGGGGTGCTGGAAATCTCTTCTTCCGAGGAATGTACAGTGAGCCTGTTTATTGCGGAAGTGATATAATGAAGTCCCTGTCACGGCGGGCATTCCTTCTCCGTTGAATGTATTGCCTTGTCAAGAGGTACATAAAATGACAACACCTTTCCTTATTCATAGGAGATCTCGAGTCGATTGTACGATTCCGACTACTAGAATATGAACAGTGTTTATGAAACACTGTCATACAGTGATGATACCAGGTGTTCGCGAAAAGTTGGGGGTATCCCGCCCCACAGGTGGCACCCGTCACAAACACTTGCAAAGGCAAGTCAAGTGTTAACCTGAACAAACACGGGAACGAATGGTACAAGTTAAAATAAGGACTTGCATCGGACATCATCGGAAATCTTTTCAAGAAAAGGTTTAAAGTGTTTATTTATTACAAGAGGATAAAAGTACTTAGAGGCGCAAATACGAAATGCATACGGAATGCTTCAGATATAATGTTTGGTGGTTTAATAAATAACATTGATTTCGTGATCATATTTCGTGATATTATTAATCATATTTCACATAATATCAAGTACGGCTAATGGCGATAATATACGTTTATCGTTTGTTTATTTGGGATTTCTCAGTTAGTCATAGTTATGAAATAGATATGAAACCACATGCATTTTTCCGTATTTGCCTCCAGAGGTACAGGAATACATACAAGGCGGTTTGTTATTAAAGTCTGACGGGAGACGATGTGAAAGAACATGCTATGTCAATAACGTTCCAAGAGAAAAAGTATAACTGACTCTCCGTACTGTGGACACACGAACTTGTCAAGATCTTATCAGAATATTTCCTGTACATACAGGTGAAATTGGTTAAAGACCCCACCATACTGACATTCACAGGACACAGAATGGTATCACAAGTCGTCATCAGTCGATCCAGCTCTAAACACAATACAAACACACATGTGCCATTCTACACCAGTCTGAGTCACGTTAACATTCAGATTTTTACAATAGGTCTTCACCAACCAAGGCGATGGAGTGAGTCAGGAGAGTTCTTATGATTATCGAAAGGGTTTTATCGCTTGTATTTGATTGAAACAACTTTTCATTCATATCTTTCGAGATTCGGGTAAACGGTATTTCCCTGCTGACTATAAAGAACAACCGATACCCACGATCCGTAACGGCATGTTATGTCCGAAAATCCTCTTTCACATGTCCTTGTAAACTAAACGGATCGAGACGTGAAAACAAGTGGTTGATAGTGCAAGCAACTCACAATGACAAACGTAGACAAAGTAGAAGATTTGTCTTTCACGTCGTATCCAATTGTCCAGCCATCTCTGACCAGCCAAGCAACATTTAATCGCCATTAACGGCATAATGAAGTACCTAGATAATAACGTTCAAGTATCCCCACGCGGCAATAATATGTGATAGACACCACCATTGAGATATATAACGTACCAGTGACACTGGAACGTCTCAATAAACATTTTGTATCATCAAAGAGTGGCTTCCATGGAAGGTATCGTTTGGGTGAGATCAATAAGTTGTATCACAAAGCTTTGTAAACCATTGTGACGTCATCGGTTACATGACGTCACAATGTCATCACTAATCTATTGGCCACTAAAGTTGGTCTTAGTTATTCTAGCATGAATTTGGAATTTACTCGATTCTGATTGGTCAATCAGAGGCTATTAAATCAGAATAAACCCCCTCTGAATGAAACTGCTGGTTTGACGGCCTCACCACCGCGGAAGCTAATATTCATAGTATAGTACTATTTTCAGTCATTGTCGGTAGGCATATTGACTTAATTATATCTACAATTACAGGTTACAAAATGTACAGATGCGGTTACTACAATATTCAAAGGATGTGTGGCAATACATTTCGTGCAGAAAACACGATAGAAATCTACAAAGGGAAGGTATTTACGTTTTGGAGACAACAGAGAGCTTGGAATTTTGGCGCTTTTCTATATACGCGACTGTGGCGTGATATCTTCTGCGTCACAATGAGCGATATGACGTCATAATGGTCACGTGCGATGTAGAACGAAGGCCTTCCAAAGCTTGCTTAGTTTTCTTTAGGGATGCCCACCTCATGTTAGCTTACCAGTTGCCGTGCTTATATGCTTTCAATGCCTGTCATATGTTCGAGTGAAGTATTACGGTGTAAACAAACTGCTTGAGTATATACAGCGCCATATTTTGTTCGGTGATTCCGTAATTCAGATCGACAACCCACTCAAAACACTGGACTCAACCCGTGCCGCTTCACTCAATACATTTGCTAACACCAAAGAGTTCGCGTTTTATTTAGTCATGGTAGAATGGAGATGAACATACTGTGTTTTCAATGTTGAGCTAGGTTACCTGAAGATTTAACCGTGCTAAAAAAATTGTTTGTTGTTTAACGCCGCACTCAGCAATATTCCAGCTATACGACGGCGGTATGTAAAAACTCGAGAAATGACCAGACTATCCAGTGATTGATGTCAAGAGCACCGATCCACGCAATTGGGATACGATGACATGCATCAAACAAGTCTGCGAGCACGACCGCCCGATCCCGTTAGTCGCCTCTTACAAGCATAGTCGTTATTTGCAGCAAGCATGGGTTGTTTACAGATTGAAAAGTTGTGGATGATTTGGAATGATGAAAAGAATCTCATCCCCGGACAGTTGAACTGTTATCGACTCATGTTGTTTGTATGGTATCAAAAACTCTCGGTGAGATTCCCTGTATTTACTCCGTAATACTCTGTTCTTTTCTTTTCACTTAACACGTATTAACGGGGTTCATCTATGTAGCTATATAGCTATGTTTAATTATGGCTGCAAATGGAATTATACCAAAAGTCAAAGTGTTGATTTAGGATATGCTAGCGGCGACAGTAGACGGGAGTGCAATAGCGTTATTGACCGCCCTGCATCAATACAATGTAGTGAATGATGCGCCAATATAATCCCACCCCTTCCTACCCTCAGGCGTGTTGACAGAGAAGACCGTTGCAGCAATATTAGAATGTGTGGGAGGGTAGGGATGGACGTCGGGAACATACCAGGCAATGAATCTCCGAGAGACAAGGTTAATTTATAATTGAATCATAAAACACATTGGTATCCAAGGCAACCTGAAAGCCAAACATATGACAAACGCGGGAGTAATTTGATCACGATGATTAAAACAATTTTGAGAGTGATTTCGATATGGGAAGGTGAATATTTTTGAT